ACCCTGGCTAACTCTCTCTGTAGCAGCTTGCTGTGTCAACTGTGACAATGTGTGTCATTGATGTTAACATAATGTATGCTTAAATGGAGGGCAGGTAGGAGCAGGAGAGCTGTCAGCATAGTCAGACTACTAGGGAGCAGTACGTTCGATAAAAGCTATAGATGTAGTAGCAATAATAATTATGATGATGATAACAATAATAATAATACCTTTCGTGATAATAATAATAATAATGATGATAATAATAATAATAGTAATAAGGATAATGATAATAATATTAATAATATATAATAATATCAGGGCTCAAAATTTCAAGTCCTGAGCTACTAGCCAGGCCTCAAGAGTTACTAGCCACCAGTTGTCCCACCTAACCCTAAGGCCCCGTTCACACTTAGCGATTTATCACGCGGTAATTCCCGCGATATTGCGGCAATTTACTGCGCGATATCGCTCTTCAATGCTTCTCAATGGGGCAAAGGGTCCTGCTGTCGCGGGTCGTGCGTCGCTACAGCAGGACCCTTTTTGGAGCGAATTTAGCCGCGATTCAAGCTTGCTCAATGCAAGCATTTGCACGACATCGCACGATAAATCGCGCGATATCGCACAAGATGCAAATCGCGCGACAAACGCGCGATTTGCGAATCGCCAAGTGTGAATGGGGCCTTACCCTGCCCCGGGCTTAACTCCGCCTCTGAACACACCCTCTTAAATAATCTTATGATATTTCCTATTTTATGATAGTTGCCGCTTGTAAACGGCAGATTAGGGATTCCTGCTGCAGGAAAACGCAAGTTCCTGACACAGGAATCTCTAATCACACCTGAAATATACTGTAGGTGTGAATGGGGCCTAATATACACATATACACTAAAGGTGCCCATACACCTGCTGATTATCGTACGATAATCGCGGGTGATCCCGCGATCGTCTGATAATCGGCAGGTGTATGGGCAGCGTGCGACCGCTTCTGCTGTAAGGTCGTACGACTTTCGTCTTCCAAGCATGCTGGAAAACCTGCTGAATGCTGCAGAGGCCGATGTGTGCAAGCGCACACTGCCCACTCAGCACTGCAATCATTGGAGGCCCTCCTCAGCGTCTGATCTGCCTGTCCAAGATGGGCAGATCGTACAAAATTTTAATGACCTTACAACCATCGCATAACGAAAGTCATGTGATGGTTGTAAGGTGTATAAGCAGCTTAAAAACACAATAATACACTTCTCAATGTTACACCCCCCCTCCCCCCCCGCACTAGGATGTATGTGAGGAGGATCGATCCCTAGTTATGGTTATCTGGAGGTGATTAGTGAGGTCTGCAGCAGATCTCACTAATCACCCCCAGATAACCAGGGATCGATCCTCCTCACATACATCCTTTCTTTCGGGCCGGATTTCAGAACTGTCAGAGCTCCGGCCGAAGGAAGCCAGAGCTGACAGGAGCTGCTCTGCGGTCTGCATCCGACACAGATGCAGACCGTGGAGCTGCTCCCGCAAGTCAGGTACGCGGTCTGCGACCGTGTGCCTGACATGTCAGCTGGCAGCGGGCCACATAGTACCGGCTCGCGGGCCGGAGTTGGCCCGCGGACCAGTACCTGGAGACCCAAATTTCCACTTTCCCAAATTTTGAGCCCTGATAATATAATGATATTTTATAGTCAGGATGAAATCATTAACATTTAAGAATTACTCTACAGGTGAAAATCTCAGCTGTCCTATAAGGTATTCGCGGAGGGGAAGCTCTAGGATTTTTGGCTGCATTAAAGGGTTTCTAAACCCTCCGTCTTTTTGCATATATCTACTGCTAGCAAGCAAAAAGTTTTGTTTTTTTTAATCGATTTAACAGCGGTTTAAACTTACCCGGTCTTCGCCGCGCGCTCCTGTCGAAAATCCGAAACTGCTCGGGCAGCCACAAAGCATCTTGGATCGGGCGTAAGTTCGGATTTTCGGCCGGGAGACGAGGAGAGACGCAAGGTAAGTCAATGGACGCGTGCACCCGCATGCAGAGACCGTGGGATCAGAAGTGCCAGGAAGGACAGAGGAGTCAGCGCTGGATCAGAGACCCCCCGCAGCGCTGGAGAGAAGGGTGAAAAGGACAGGAAAGACGGGGATGATCGGAAAAAGAGACATCATTTAAGGTAAGTGCTGACATTAACATTGGGGGGAGGGAAACATTTTTTTGACTTTAATGTCACTTTAAATAGGAATCAACAAGATTAACCCTTGCAGTGGGGCTACCCCACGTTTTGGTCTAGGGGCTGGATTAAAGAAGATACATTCACCGAATCCTCAATCCCACCTGGTTGCTAGACCGGTCCCTGCAACTTTTTCTCCCCCCAGGCTCTGGTAGTCTAAGGACCGCTGATGTCATCATGTCCAATGCAGGTCTGCATTAGACTTGAGGACGCCGACGGACATACCACAGCGGAGCGGAGAGAGACAGAGGTAAGCACTGACTGCCTCAGGACTGAGGATCAGTTGAGTATATCTTCAGTATTTTGGCCCCTTGCCCAAAACAAGCAGTTAACCCTTGCAGTGTGGGGTAGTCCCACCACAAGGGCTAATTTTGTTAATGAAAGGAGTTCCTCCCTATGCTGGCCGTGCGTTAGTGAATATTGACATGAACGTTCATACAGAAATTCTGGTCAGAACATTCGATAACGCCATTAGAGAATTGACGGAGCTGGTTCGAAATTTTGTTTCATTTTAACACTCAGTTTTAGAAATGAATGGAGTTTCCAAGGAGGAAAATCTACATTCACCGTTAGAATTTCGTATTCAAGAAACATTTTCGTTGTGCATCCTGATCACTGTGGGAGAGCAGACTGAGGGGGCCGAACATCAGAGCACAATCACTGTGCAGCACTAGTAAGCAGAGAAGAGCCATTATACCGTATGTCATAGGCAGCAGAGGCTGACCAGATGTCCCGTTTTAAATGGGGCAACACCGTTATTTCCTTATTTTCCCTGTCCTGTCGTTTCTTTTTAAAAAATCGGCCAGCCGCAGTGATATAAATGTTAAGACGACCGCAACTGCGTTCGGCCTTCACTTCTACATCCATGCGGCTGGCCGGTCTCCTTAACCACTTGCTGACCGGGGTGTTTATGCCCCCTTCCTGGCCAGGCCATTTTTCAGTATTCAGCGCTGCGGTACTTTGACTGACATTTATTCTGTCATGGAACGCTGTACTGAAATTAATTTTATACCATTTTTTGGGGACAGATAGAGCTTTCTTTTGGTGGTATTTATTCACCACTGCGGGTTTTATTTTTTACTATATTAAGAAAACATTACTGAAAATTTTGAAGAAAAAAAAAGATTTTTTTACATTATGTTATAATACAATTATTATTGTCCGATTTTTTTGGTAAAATATAAAAGACGGGGTCACGTCGGGTAAATAGACACCAAACATGTCAAGCTTTAAAATTGCGCACACCGGAGAAATCGCAAAAAACTATCATAACCAAAATTGGCCATAGGCGACGCTTTAAAAGCTTTTACCGCTCATCAGTTTAGTGTTATCAGTGATTGATGGGGCTGGAATTATTACTCTCACTGCGACATTCGCAGTGATATGTAATATGTGCGGCATAATGGGCGCAATCGTCATTTTCGCACATATGCGCACCCGTTGCATGTTTGCATGTGTGTATGTATGGGTGGGGACATTAAAAAAAAATTTGTGGTTTAAAAAAAAAAAAATTTCATGTGTG